TTTAAGACCGTAAATCAATATGGTGGCTAGTTATGATGTCCCTACGTTAGCTATGTTTTGTGAAAGACTAAACGCCATTGTGCATAAAAATACCACAGAAAGAAAGTTAGTCAATATCACACGAAGAGTGCCAGATTTCACCTCTAAAATCAGCATGATTTCAAATGTGATTTTATTCAACAGCTCAAACAAGAAGGTAATATTATGAGACTTACGTTTTAGACACTATATTGCCTGTTTTTGCTTTATTTTGCCAACAGAAAAATCCCAAACACAGCCACAGCGCTGTTTTGTGTCTCTGTGCAACATGACGACGTTTCGTTCCTGAATGAATCAACCGTTTAAATGATTCAGTTCAATCGCAATGACTCACTTCTTAACAGTGACTTGCTGCCACCTGTTGGCAGTTTTTTTAGTTTTTAAAATAATTTGAAATATCAGTATTCAATGTTTTATGTTTAAAATAACAAAATATTATTTATGCATTTGTAACTGCAGGTTAAATGCATTCATGTCCCTCTGTGTGGGAAATTCATCCCATGCAGCTTCTGTTTCCTCTGCATTGCAAAGATGAATTTTGATACTGATATCATTTGTTTGGTAACAGCCCAAATGTCTTTTATTCTAATTGACTGATTAAATGTAAGAACATTAAATGGGTTTAGTTTTCACGGTTATTAAAGTATGCAATTTCAGCAATAAAAATGTAAATTTTTCTAAAAAGAAAACAAATTAGTTGTTTATTTTAAGAGATCTAGCTGATTATCTCTTGTATATTTAGTATTGCTCTTTAATAAAGAAAAATTACTTCTTATACGATTACTCGATTAATCGATGGAATAATCTGTAGAATACTGTATTACTAAAATAATCGATAGCTACACCCCTATACAATATATAAATATATTCAATTTGTCTTCCATTTTCTGAAGTTTAAACACTGCCTTTCATTGACACTGATGAATAAAGAAAAATTCCCATTGAAAGTCATACTGTTATTTATATTTTTATTTTATTTTCAATAGTTTCAAGCTCTGTTTTGTACCCTGTTTGGCAGAATCTGTCAGTTACTTTACATTTTTCCTTCTGTTGCTGTTGTTTTCTCATTTGTATGCATGCAGTCTATATTTTGGTGAATTCTGTCTCCCGTCCCGTTGCAGGCACGTGTCACAGTTTGGTCTGCGTGACGACGTGCAGCAGGGCTGGATGCGCTCGTTCATTCATGCGGCACTCATTCACAGAAAACGGCCTCCTGTTGTTTTGACTAAATAAAGAGGAGCTGTGAGGAGCTGTCCGAGAGAGGTGTTTGTGTGTATGGCAGCGTTTTAGGATGAAGAGACCCTGGGGGAGGAACCTGGAGTAGTGTTTAGGATCCATCCAGCATTTAGCCTTCAGGCCGCTGCACTGCTAGTTTTTGTCAGACAGACTTCTGACTGTGGATTATTTTGGCCAAGAACCGCCCACTTAGACAGGAAGAGATTCTGATTGACGTGTAAAGCAACCAACCACAGTTTGTTTTTTTCATTTACTGCTGGGTAAATGTGAAAACAGATATGATTTTTACAATGAACCTGTTGAATCGGTTCATGAATCACACTGAACATTCATTTGTGAATCTGACTGATTCACTGAATCAGTCAGATTCACAATTCACTGAATTGTTCATGTCTGACACAAAATAATCAAGAACCTGGAGAACCTTTGAGCTTTTTGCACGATTGATGGCGCAAGAAATAAGTTGCTGAAATGCCGAAGGTCAAGTGCTATTTATTGCTAAAAATCATATTTTTCCATGGGAAGTTTTTGTTACTGGCTGAATCTACTCAAAGTATTGGTCAAATATTAAAATGTTACAATTCAGAGTCAGAAATATGCAGGTAACCGTACATAAAAGACGGTTTTCTCTAATGCTTTTTGTCTCTATTTTTACCCACAGCTCTTTCGTGAAGTGAGGATTATGAAGGTCTTAAATCATCCTAATATAGGTAAGACATCGTGCTAAAATTTATTTTAAAGTAAAGATCATTAGACCATATTCTGGCGTTTTATTTGTGTATGAAATTCTCTTATGTAATTAAAGTAAATAAAGTCATAATTTGAGCCATATAATGAAATAAGCTGTTTGCTGAAAATGGTGTACATGAACTCAGTTATGATTGGCAAGCATAATCACATGGGAAATGCTGAGTTTGAGCGGGAAATAGTTTAAATGTCCTCTTTTTGTTGCCAACATTAAATTAGGGGAAGTTAAATTAAATTAATGAATCTTATGAATGCATTAAAAAAAAGCTGTATCAAATCAAAGTTAAGTCGTTTAAGAATTGTAAAAATTTGTAAACATTAATTGTAATATTATAGATTAAATATTATATTGTATGCTCACAGTGTGTTGGGTAAGTTACTCAAAAACCTAAATCACTACATGTTACTAATTACTTCGTTAAAATTACAATTTGATTACATTACTGATTACTGCATCTAAAATATTGTGTGTGTGTGTGTGTTTGTTTTGTTACCAGTAATTTTAAATAGTAAATAATCCAACTGTAATATTATATTTTTTAATGTCACTAGAAACTATTCATTAGATTCTAGAGTCAGCATTTACAATATTACCAAAGCACAGTAGGCTAGTTAAAGTATTAGGTTTACTATGATTTTTTTGCACCCATTCATTCCAGATTTTCAAATAGTTGTATCTCGCTCCTATCCTAACAAACTTATTTATTCAGCTTTCAGATGATGTATAAATCTCAATTTCAAAAAATGGACCCTTATGACTGGTTTTGTGGTCCAGGGTCACATATATGTATATGTATATATATATACATTTCTATAGTATTTATTTATTATAGTATTTATTAAATTATTGAAATGTTCTGAACTAGCTTTTATTTTTTAAGTTTTAGTAATTTTGTGCTTTTGTCATTTTTTAAAATTGTTTTTATTTATTATTATTATTTTTCTATTTAGCTTTCATTTATATTTACAAGTTTTAGTTAGCTATAACAACACTGGTGTGAGGCTGCGAACTGACCCTCATAACACCTGATCAAGCCTGGAGCCGTTTAGACCTGATAATCAATGTCTTGTTTTTATCCACAGCTCAGTTTCATCCGTGACATGGCACTTTCCCTCTCTTTTCTCTCGCTCCAGTTTTATGAGATGTTAACTGGATTATTTATATTCCTAATGGAAGGGAATCACGGGAGAGTCATTCAGACGGGCTGCTTTAGCACGATCAGCTCTGCACAGCCGATGTCTGACCAGCTCAGCTCTTTTGTGCCTCTCTAAACGGCACAAGACTCCGTTTTCACTTCTCTATCGATTAGCATGACTGGCTGTTTCTGGCGTACCCTTCCTGGCTTCTGATTGGCTGAGGCTGAGCTGGATTTTAGATTAATCAGACTAAAAGCTGTGATTACCCACCTATCCCTGACATTTTTTTCTCTCATCTTTCCTAACACACACACTCACTGCATGTTAAAGACTGCATGCAGGAAGCAGTCAGACGTTATTAGCGTCCATCCACAGAGAGTAAATTGAATTACAGAAGCTCTTCACATACAGTAAAGTACACAATGAAATGAAAAGAAACAGGAAGCCCGTGTGTGTGACGTCTTGCGTGTATTTTAGCACATCTCCATAACAAGCATCCCTGCTGTGTTGTTTCTCCATATCATAGATGAGTTCCTGAGAGAATCAAGCACAGATCAGATCTGTCGTCATTGTGGTATGGGGCTAAAATAGTGTCAAAAATGATTTGTATTTACAAAATATGATTTGCGAATATGTAACAAAATGTACATCCACAAAATATGATTCAAACCACAGTTCATAAATGCACAAGTATAATTGCAAGCTTGCGAATCATATTTTGTATTATAATTTTGATACTATTTTAGCTCCATATTGTTCCAAAAAAAATAGTGAGCTGCTCACTCTTGTGAACAAATGTGCTTAATTGTTTAGAATGTCAGTCACTCTCTGTATCTGTTTCTCTCTCTCTTCCAGTTAAGTTATTTGAAGTAATTGAAACAGAGAAGACACTTTATTTAATAATGGAGTATGCAAGTGGAGGTGAGTGTGATGGACGGGCGAGATTCATATTTAATATCACTATTAGCGCACGTCATGACGCACATCTCTGAATGTCTGTGTTTCTATGTCAGGTGAAGTGTTTGACTACTTAGTCGCTCATGGGAGGATGAAGGAAAAGGAAGCCAGAGCAAAGTTTCGACAGGTGATACACACGTATACTATACACACATCTGAACCAGAATCATTGAAAATAGCCGAGATTTAAATCAACTATCCAGCTGACATTGTGACTATTGAGATCAAAAATACATTTTTAAAAGTAAATTGTATTAGGTAACTGGGTAACACTTTATTTTAAGGACTAATTCTCACTATTGACTAGTTGCTTATTAGCATGCATATTTCTAGCATATTGTCTGTTTATTAGTCCTTATAAAGCACATATTAATGCCTTTTTCCAGTGTAATATTTACAACAGCAAATCACAGTGAATGGGCTAGATTTTTAGAAAGATATTTGCTTCTCTTCTACACTGCATTTCAATGTAAACAAATTATTAATTATTATCAATTATAAATGATTAGTATAAATTAGTATACAAGTATAAATTATAACAGTATTAAATCACAAGGCACGTTTATAAAATAATAGAATATCAGTTGTTTTATAATCTAGTTAAACAAATAAATATTTGCATGTATGAACTTGACTAATGTGTCTTACAGTAAAAATGTACTGTACATTTTTGCATAAAAAATATAAAAAAAGAAGTATTAACTAGTTAAACTTGAACTAATTACTATTAGAATAAGTATTAATATGTCATGTATAAGTGATGCCTAATAAATAGATTTGGTAACACCTTCCAAATTCTCACTATTAACTAGTTGCTTATTACCATGACTATTATTAGCATATTGGCTATTTATTAGTACTTATAAAGCTCTGCATGACCATATTCTACATTCCTAATCCTACCCAATACCTAAAGTTAACAACTACCTTACTAACTATTAATAAGCAGCAAATTAAAAGTTTGAGGCAAAAGTAGTAGTTAATGGTTTGTTGCGAGAATTGGGCCTTAAAATAAAGTGTCTAATAGCATCTAATAAATACTTACAAGAATTGTTGCTTACTAAATACTAAAATCGGAAGAGATAATTAATTAGATAATTTCAAAATACTACTAGCAAATGAAAATATGGAGAAAAGTACTAGTAATTTTAAAAAAATTGAACATCGTACATTACTTGTTCAGTGTTATTTTGTTAACAATATAAAATTCAGTTGATCATGAAAATCACAAGGAATTTGCGTGCTCTATAATGTTTTAGTACAGATATATGTGGGTAAATATTGCCGTTTATTAACGTGCTGTTGTACTGGCTTACATTCAGTTAATCAGATTAATTACACTTATTTTAACTGTATTTATTGCATTAAACATTTTCCTTCTGCTTGACAGTGGTTTGGTGGAAAAGATGAATCCTCCAGCTGAAAGGACAAAAAAAAACGTTTATTTAAATGCATTAACTGATTTAGTATTTGATATTAATGACACATTTAGAAAGAAAGAAAGAATTATAATAGTCATGTCATGATCAATAAATACACTGGGGGCATCTTCCTCCTTTATTACTACCTTTAATGAATGTTGATTAATTTTAATACGGTTTTGTACAGAGCACCCTCTGGTGGTGATACAGTGTTTGTCAAGTTTCCCTCTGATCAGCTGTTCATGTGACAACTGTAAACAAACAGACATCAGTTTGAGTGTAATTAAACCCCCTGCAGCGCTGCAATAATTAATTGGCCATTTTCCTTCGTGCTTTGCTAATGATGGCGAATGAAACCCCCAGACTGCAGTTCACTGATTAGTCAGAATATAAGACCCCAGTCTGTCTCGCTCTCAACTACAGTGACATAAAGACATGTTACAGTGTCTGTCTAGCACATACAAACACATGCTGGATTTGCAGACTTTCTCAGCTTCTATTTGCAGATGAACAAAAGAGCTGGTTTGTGGAATGATGTATTATTTGTCATGCTAATGTGACTTCGTGTGTGACTACAGATTGTGTCTGCAGTGCAATATTGCCATCAGAAGAGAATAGTCCACAGGGATCTCAAGGTGAGACACACACACACACACCGTTTAAGGCTGTGGTATAGATCTGCTCACCTTTAGTGATTTGTGTTTCATTGATCTCTAATGACCGTGCACTGTGCAGACCGCTTTGCTACATTTCTTTGTGCGTCTCTCTCTCTGTAAAGGCTGAAAACCTGCTGCTAGACGCGGACATGAATATAAAGATAGCGGACTTTGGCTTCAGTAACGAGTTCACCATCGGGAGTAAGCTGGACACGTTCTGTGGCAGTCCTCCGTACGCGGCTCCCGAGCTCTTCCAGGGGAAGAAGTACGACGGGCCAGAGGTGGACGTCTGGAGTCTGGGGGTCATCCTCTACACGCTTGTCAGTGGCTCACTTCCCTTTGACGGACAGAATTTGAAGGTCATTTCTAGTTATATTCAAGGTCACTGAAGGCCTATTTACACCAAAAACGATGCGACAAAATTAAGCAAAATTATGCAGATCACTGTTAAAACTCTTTAATGGTATTATGTTCTATTCTGATTTTTTTTCTTCACATGCATACATAAACACATACTGTCGTTCAAAGGTATGGGGTTAGTAAGAATGTTATTTGAAAGAAAATAATAGCCGTATTAAACAAATGTGATCCAGGAGCACAAAACCAGTCATAAGGGTCAATTTTTTATTATCTGAAAGCTAAATAACTAATCTTTCCATTGATGTATGGTTTGTTAGGATCGGACAATATTTGGCCGAGATACAACTATTTGAAAATCTGGAATCTGAGGGTGCAAAAACATCTAAATATTGAGAAAATCATCTTTAAAGTTGTTCAAATGAAGATCTTCGCAATGCATATTACTAATCAAAAATTAAGTTTTGATATATTTATGGTAAGAAATTTACTAAATATCTTCGTGGAACATGATCTTTACTTAATATCCTAATGATTTTTGGCATAAAAGAAAAATTGATCATTTTGACCCGTACAATGTATTGTTGGCTATTGCTACAAATATACCCTGCGACTTCAGACTGCTTTTGTGCTCCAGGGTCACATATGTGCATTAACTTGATCAAAAGTGACATTTTACATTGTTACAAATCATTTCTAATCTTAAGAAATGCTGTTCTTTTGAACTTTCTATTCATTAATGAAACCTAGAAAAAAAAACTCTGTTTCCACAAAAAATAATAATAATAAGATAATCAGAAAGGTTCCTCTATATTTCAAATTTAAATGCTTTAAATGCTTTAACCCTGGAACAACATATAAAACTACCAAATTTTGCAAAGTTTAATCGCAATCGCAGTTTAATCGCAACATACAATCATTACAGTTAATAGTATTCACCGTCTGTTTGATTACGTGTAATTTGTAACTGACTGCATGATTCTTATGGTGTGTGCACACCAAACGCGAAGCGAATATTTGCATCGCGTTACTCGTTCTAGTTTACTCGCGGGATGTTTTTTGCGTCACTCGCGCAAATAAAAACATAAAAACAAAAAAAAACATTTTCTGGTACAACCGGACGTGTCAAACCGGACGAGTCAAAACGCTCTTTGCTGATTGGCTTGCGCGACAACGCATCATGCAAATTTTCCGCTCGAGTTAAATTTTTTGCGCGGAAGACGTGATTGAGGCGTATGTTGCGCATTTGCGGCAATCGCGTCGCCCAATTTGCACCATTCGCGTCGCCCGGCACGAATTTGTGTCTGTTCGCGTCTTTGCATTGACTTTGTATGTAATCTACTCGCACAAATAATTAAATTCGCTTTTGGTGTGAACACAACATAGAAAAATTAACTTAAATGATTTTAGCAAATGGCTGCAATATAACAAAGAGTGAAAAATTTAAGGGGGTCTGAATACTTTCCGTACCCACTGTATATCCAACATATAATCATTGCAGTTAATAGTGTTCACCGTCTGTTTGATTACATGTAATTTAAACTAACTGCGTGATTTTTACTGTACATTTCTGCCATAGTCACAACTAATAACCTACTCCTAAATATAATGTAGAAACGTAAAATTTTCTGTAAAGCTGCTTTGCAACGATTTGTATCATGAAAAGCGCTATACAAATAAACTTGAATTGAATAAATATTTAAAAATCCTAAAACTGCTTCCCAAATATTTTGGGGTTTCTGATTTTTTATGTATCCTTAGACATATAGAATACCTATTAGCCGTAAATATGTTCCCAGTATAGCACAACTAACCTCCCAACATTATTGTTTAAATGTGTAATTTCTATTTTGTGACCTTTTGTTTGCCATATAAAATTTTGTCAAATTTGCTTGCTGCTAACAACTTACGGTTCTTGTAGTTGGGGCTCAAAAGCATTGTTTTTTTCTTGTTGGTTGGTAATTTAAGCATTTTTTTCTAAGTGAAAAACACCCTATTTGGAGTTTCATTGCAGTGTGAATTTTTACCATCGATGTGAAGAGGTAATAGTGATGCACTGTTTGCTTTAAAGTCTGCCAAAGCAAAAAACTGTTCCACTGCTCCATTTAAGGCTTATGTTTTTATTTAGTTTACCTAAATGAAAATGCAGCAAGTTTTCCTGAAAGCATATTGCTCTGTCTGTATGTGCTGTATTGGGTCCTCACTCTGAATGTTGGTCCACACAGGAGCTGCGAGAGAGAGTTTTGCGAGGGAAGTATCGTATACCGTTCTACATGTCCACAGACTGTGAAAACCTTCTGAAGAAACTGTTGGTGCTAAATCCAGGCAAACGTGGAAGTCTAGAGGTGAGGCTGATAAACACATTTCACACACCCGTATGAATTTTGAAAAGAACTATAGAAAAATATACTTTTCTGTGAAACACAAAATGAGATGTCTAATGCTCTTTTCCATACAACGAAAGCATACTGTGAACAGAGTCACTGTAAACTCAGAAAAGAACAAAAGCACCATAAAAAGTGTCATAAAAGTAGTCCTGTACACTTTATTCCAAGTCTTTTGAAGTCATGTGAAATCAAATCTTAATCACACATTTGTTAACATTAAATCTGGCGTGTCTCGAGTAGTAGAAACTTGTTCAGAAATGACCTGAGGTTCAGTCAGGACACTCTAGTGCAAGCTGATAGGTATTCAATATTAATCCTTTAGCTATCTCAGTGTAAACCAAATGGAGCATGCAGATTCACCTCTCTTATATCTGCAGCCTTTGAGCTTTCTTGTTTAATATTTAAATAGTCTAGTTCAGTGTTTGCTGTGAGGCTGGCTTACAGAAGAGTTCCTCGACACCCTCCTCCTCCCCAGCACTACCTGTCTAGATCTGCTATGGAGGATATTATGTTATGTCTTTGTGCAGTATCTTGTCTTGCATGCTCACAGCAACATGAGCTATGTTTCCATCCAAAGATGCGAATTTAACTTGTGTGCACAACTGGAATATCACATAAAACATTTGCGAATAAAGCACCGTTTCCATCCAATGAGTCAAAGAGAACAAAATCGTCACTTCCTGATAAACTGGCACTAAATATATCTCTAAGAAGACTAGGAGAAGCCACTGAATATAATAATTTTCATATGTAATAAATTACTTTCGGAGGCGGATGCTGCTGTTTGGGAACGCAGTCGTGTAAGACAATTATACAGAAATAGGCCTAATTTCACAGACTTTGCTCAGGCTTTTCAGAACGACCAAAACAACATTTCAGATGCTGTGAACGAGATCGGTCCGCTGGTTAGTCAGGTTATCCCATCTCATAGCGCAAAGTCACGCGACTTTTTCAATGCGCATGGTGGAATTTATTCTGTAAATGTGTTTCCATCGTAGTTTATGCGCATTTTTTTCTTATTGGATAAACTTTTTATCCTACTCAGTTGTGCGCATAAGTTTTTTATGAGCATTTTAAGAATTTATGCGCATCTTGGCGTTTCCATCCAGCATTTTTTATGCGATAATCCAAAATGCGCATTAAAAATAGGTGGATGGAAACATAGCTATGGCCGTGTATGTCTTGGTGGTAGTGTCCCAATACTGCCATTTCTGACGTCTTGACAAATATTAATATTTGATACTACTTTTGATACCACATGGAAAAAATGGTGCAACATTTATATGGGATGATATTAGACTCAAAATGATTAATAGATGCAGCGCGGAATAGGCTATAGCCTATAAAACGCTCGTTTGGTATAGTTTAGTTTAAGTTAATTTAATAGTTTAATTAAATATAAATGTGCGATTACTAATGGCATAAATGAGCAACTATAATAGTCCTTTTAATAATAATAATACAAGGAAGGAGTAACTGACAACGTGCCGTTGAATTAAGCCTACAGAAAAAAAAAACAAGGTATCGTCACGAAGTTCTTGTTTGGCAAAATTAATATAAGCTATTCTGTGTCTTAAGACAAGTTAAGTTAGAACAAGTTCAATAAAACATCTTTATTATATTTCTACGGTAGAGGAGAATAGCCAAACCAAAAAGAAACAAAGAAAACAATGTAACATTCATGAAACCATACTCAATGGAATGCACACATGTGACTGGGGCTAGTGCCATCTAGAGGTCGCTGATTTTCTGTGGCTCAGCTACTTGGAGCTGCGTGTGGATCGCGATCTGTGTATGTGTGGATTGGGCAAGGCCAAATGTTTGGCAAAATTAATATAAGCTATTCTGTGTCTTAAGACAAGTTCAGTTAGAACAAGTTAAATAAAATATCTTTATTGTATTTCTACTGGCAGAGGAGAATAGCCAAACCAAAAAGAAACAAAGAAAACACAATGTAACATTCATGAAACCGTACTCAATGGAATGCGCACATGTGACTGGGGCTAGTGCCATCTAGTGGTCGCTGATTTTCTGTGGCTCAGCTGCGTGTGGATGTGTGTGTGGATTGCGCAAGGCTAAAAGGGCAGAAAGAAAGCCTCAAAATTCAAACGAATCAAATAGAATCGACTCAGAAGAGACGTGAATGAATGCACGCGTGTCGCCTGATCCACAAATGCACATTTTAATCGTTACATGCACAAATCATGATACTTTAATACAAACTATAACATTTGTATTCACAAATATGTCTCTATTTGAACAAAATGCTGCACATTAATGTAATTCTTAACTCTGCAGACACCGGTTGAAAAGCATTTGTTTCAGTGTAGTGACGCACATTTGCGAATTTTTCAAATCGTGTACACGTTAATGAATTGCACTGGTATACATAATGTGTGTGTATTTATATATACATAATAAATACACGCAGTAAACACACACATATATTATTAATTGCGATTTAATCGTTGCCCAGCACTAATTTAAATGAAAATTTTTTTAATTATGGATACATTTATTTTTAGATCTGTGGTAAAACTTGCTGGGGTTTCCAAGACCATTTTAAAGTAAAAGTCACCCAAAAATGAAAATTCTCATGTTGTTCCAAACCTGTATGAGTTTTTTTTT